GGGGGGGGGGAAGGGGAATTTAATAACTCCAGAGGTGGGGATGGACCTCTCCTGCCTGCTGTCCTAAATTCTGCTCAGCCACTTTCCGGGAGCTGAGGGCCAGGGCGGGGGAAGGAAACCACCGTGTCTCCTCTGAACCAAATCCCCAGGCATCCGAGTTTGTTCTCCAAGGTTTTTGTTCCTAACACATAACTTTTCCTTGTTTCCCCCCCCTGCAGGGACAAAGATGCTTAGCACAGCTCCCTGCATCTCTCCCAGCCCCAGTTTTAGTCAAATCTCCCCTTAAATAGCCCCAGTCCTCCACCCAGCCAGCATTTCAGAGGAAAAGTAAATGCTGTCATCACACGGGGCCACGTCTAGAATTTAAACAGCCACCCGAAGCGTCACTAATCCTTTCCAAAACAAGTAAGGCACCCTTTGTCAGCTGGACTGCTAAAGCCCAGATCTTATAAACATACAAAACCCCGCAACAGGCCACTGAAAGAATGGGAAAGGCCGACAGCTACGAGGGAAAATGCACCGAAGAGCTGCTAGAAAAGGATTGTGGTGTTTATGGTCTGCTGATCCCTTGGGCTCACCTAGTTGTTACCCAGCACTGGAGACTGAAGTTTGGTAGCAAACAAATAAGGGAAATAAATAACCATAACTGTCTGACCCTGAGATGAAGGACCTCGGCTCTGCCAGGTCGGGCGATGGGATGTGGTTGTAGCACTGATGGGTTTGGGTCAGGCTGCTCTGTCCCAGCTTGAGCAGAGCCAACTGTGTGTCCTAAGCCCCAGCACCCTTGAGCCTCCTCTGATCTGTGACCCCACAATGCTGCTGGACCCCAGACTGGTCTTAACACATGGGTAGATGGAGCAGGAGAAAGCAGGGGAGCATGGGGTGAGAGCTGGCAGGACACCCACACTGTGACCCATTCTACAGCTCTCACTGGGCCTCCACGCTGCTTTGCAGAAGATTTTACAAGAAAAGGAATAAAACCACTACAGAAGAGAAGGGGAATGATTTCTGATGCTTGGTGTGACCCTCTGGCAAAGCACCCCCGAAGCATTCAGTCCCAAGAGTGCTTTTGTCAACGGGCAACCCTCACCCTGAATCCAGCCGGCGGTGGAAACGCACCCGTCTCATCTCCCAGGAGTGGCAGCGAGGAGAGAGGACGTCTCCGCTCAAACGCCCACGCAATCATTAACATCCTGCCATACCCCTCGAAACATTTTCTAAATGTTGCTACAAGTGACAGTCGCTCCTTAATGAACAGAACGCACCGATTCTGTGCCTGACTCGCTGCCAAGTGTGCCTCGAATCATCTGTGGTGTCTAGAAGGGAGTAGCGTCTCCTCCTCCTCCTCCTCCTCTCCTTATTAAAAAGCTTCATCTCCCCAGCCTGAGCATCCCTCGGCTCATGCAGCCGAGCAGGCTCCCGGCGCGGGGAAGTCACCCCTTCCTTGCTGTGGGGGAAATCTGTTGCTCTGAGGTCCCGCCACAACCTCCCGAACAGGGATAAGGCAGCGGGGAAAGAGGCATGTAGATCCACCACCCGAGAGCTGGCTCCCCATGGGAAATCAGCAACCGGACTTCTCAGCAACCCAAACGGGTGGCTTCGGTCAAGCCAAGCTCTGCGAGCTGCAATTAACAAGTCAGATGGTTGGCAAACAGCAGTCCCGTACAGATTTTGTGCGGATGGTGGGAAGAGAGTCTCCTTGGAGATCGCCCCAATAGTGGCGGGGGGTACACACCTATTAATGAGCAGACTCCTGCTACTCATTCTCGATTCGGTAATTGCAACGGCTCGTTCCTCTCCAGAGGAGCCCTACCCAGCTCACAAGCCACGGAAGGAGCTTTTATGAACTTCTGTCAGCCTGACACGGCTCCGTGAGAATGAAGAGCGGTCCGTTGCACCGTGGCCGGGAGCCTGTGGGGTGCTTGCCAAGAGAGGCTGTGGAAGGCGGCAGCGGGGCCAAGCTGCTCTGACCCCTGCACTGGGTCTCCTCACCTGGGAACGGCCACTGTGGGCCTCAGGCCTTCCTCACCCTTCCCCGGTCATCGGGTACCGAGGACGGGGCGGCTCTGCCAGGCAGGTGCTGCTGCCTCGCCTCACGCGTTGCTCCCAACCCATGTTTCCTCGACGGCCCCCTCAGACACCCCACACGACGCCATTTCACAAGCATCAGCCCTTCCCCAACTGCCACCCCGACCCCGTGGAGGTGGCTGAAGGGACCTCGCAGCTCATCCAGGCTGTTGTGAGGTGGCCAAAGCACCCTCATCGGGAGTGGCCCTGGCTCCCGGCCCCCCCAGCGCTCCCCGCTGCCCCGGAGGCCCCGCTCCCTCCCGGGGCAGCTCCTCACCTCCCTGCAACCTTGGGCCCGCCGCCACGCCCGCCAGGGCAGGGCCCAGCCCTCACCACATCCTACCGCGGGGGGAAGGGGTGGCTTGGGGAAAGACGAGGCCGCGCCGTGCGCTGGCACCCGGGGACCCCCACACCCAACCCCGCTGCCCTCGAGCGGCGGCCGCGGAGCTCGAACCCGTGGCCCAGGGGCACGCCGGGACGCGCCAATCACCGCCCGCCGCGGGAGGCGCCGCGGGG